ATCAAATCAACAATTTATTCAACAGTTCGTTTTAGTACTCTAACTTGATTGGCCAAGAGTCTATCAGCACAATGACGTTTCACCGTTAGTATCGCTCCGCTTGTTTGTTTGTGTTCGCTACTTCCTGTATCTTCCGTTAGCGCTGTTGGAACTATTTCCAGTGGCAGAATAAAACAACAACAACCTGAACAACAGCACTCTTGCTCGACTAAAATTGAGTAAATATTAAGTTGAATGAACAAGCAGCTGAAATAAGTAAATCCCAACACCACATTTTGCCATATTGTCGTTATTTATATTTATAGAGCTGGAGAAATGTTTGAAGACTTCTTCCATCCCACACAAACAACAAGAGACTGCAATTAACCAGCAGGTGATCATTCTCTTTCTCCTCAAGAGTCTATTACACACTTTCACAGCAGACTAAGAACTTATTAGTACAATGCAAAATGTATACCAGTGAATCCACCATTTTGTTTTTAAATCCTGCTACACTTGTTCAGGCTACAATGAATACTTAATCCACAAATACGTAATCTATTTTAAACGAATATAATTTTAATAGTGTTTTGACTGTTTATGACGGTACTTCAAAAGACTTGGAATATTGCACACTTATGATACTTTTATGACTCATTTAAGCTTCTTTTTATCAATTTTTTTTAAGTTCATGGTACAGTATAATTGTGTGGAGATTCTTAAAAAATGCATTTGTTATACAGTAAATTACTTGTTTATATTCATTTAAAGGTATTTGACAAAACATCCCACCATGTCATCTGACTGCCAAACAATCTTCATTTTGGGTGAGTAATATCTTGAAAAATCAATTATATCCATATGACATTTTGATATTTTCAGCATGCATCATGCAGTTGTGACATGTTATGACGTAAATGGTAAATGACATAATTGTTGCCCTAAACAATCCATTCTTAAAATATGAATAGAAATCACACTTTTTTTTCCACAGTCCACCATTTCCCTCATAAATACTCCTCTGCCATTGGCTCAGATAACAGCAATAGCCTGTTGCCTGGTAACGTCAGTAGAATAATGCTTGTGTTTGAGAGAGAAACGCTGCTTTTGTGTTTCTGTGTCCCTGTTTTCCTTTATTTTTCTAACAATAATGTTTATACTACACACCCATCTAAATTTCTAACAGCACACCCACTGATGATGGTCCTTTATATGAAACGAGGACATTATTTTGCAATCTGTTATCAGTGAAATTATTTAGCAGCTTGATATGAATCATAATGCAAAAGCTGACAGCAAGCATCACATCACATGCCAAAACTTTGAAATGCATCTTCACTGGCTATCACAGTTTTTCTCAATCACTTTGGCTCAATAATTGAATTCTCAAAACAATAAGTTCACATCTCCAAACTTGTTCACATCAGATTTGAATTTCTTATTGGTTTAAGCAAATTGCAACTTGCAAACTCTTCACGACTTCTAAACATTCTTTCATCGTGTGAGCGTTCACGTGCAAAATTATCCGTTCAATTATCAAAATCTGTTGGAAATGCATGTATATTCCATGACATTGATTGTTTGTAATATCTGCCAAATTGGCAAATGGCCTGCCATTGCAAGGAAATAGAAATCACAATCTTACCAATCAACCAATAAAGTTACAGTTACAATAATGGAGTTTGCCCACCCCAAACAGATCAGCTGTTTATTTTTGTAGAAATATTACATGTAATCTGTATTTTCAATAACATTTTTGTCCATTTGCTTTTTGTGTACTAACTTCAGCATTGACTTGTCCTACTTTTCCTAATGCTGAAATCTGTTCATAAGAGGCAAACAAGTTTTCATCAAGGCAAAACTGATGTTCTTGTACAGTGTAGAAAACAGAAAATGATATTTGTATATAATGAATATTTCAATTGTGAAAAAAAAAATACATTTAAACATTTTAACCAGTGTGGCTCACTCAGTGACACAAATACTTTTTATTTTGCTGACACTGCCCAATTTTTAGACACATTAAAGGAGTAGTTCACTTAAAAAAAAAAAAAAAAACTTTTGCTGTTTTTCTCCATATAATGGACTTCAATGGGGTCCAAAGTTTCAAGGTCCAAATGAGAGTTTCAGTGCAGCTTCAAAGGGCTTTAAACGACACCAGACGATGAATAAGGGGCTTATCTAGCGAAACGATGGCTCATTTAAAAAAATACGTTAAAAATGTAAGTTTTATAAGCACAAATGCTCACCTTGCTCTGTTCTGTGATGCGCGTTCGTGACTCAAACTCGTTCATCAAAATGAACGAATCTTTTTTCGAGTCATTTCGTTCATTTCGTTTGTTGAATGAACCAATTGAATCGAAAAAAAGATTTGTTCATTTTGATGATATCCATTATATGGAGAAAATCCTGGAATGTTTTCATCAAAATCCTTAATTTCTTTTCGACTGAAGAAAGAAAGACATGGACATCTTGGATGACATGGGGGTGAGTAAATTATCACCAAAAGCTTTTTTCAAAAGTGAACTACTCATTTAAAGCTGCTATTTGTAACTTTTCGTCTAAAATGAATCATTTTTTTATTGCCTGTGTTTGAGGGGGTTATAATCACACATTACAATGATCCACTTGTAGGGTTTTGCTATTCAATTCAATTCTATTACCACTAAAGGCCAGTATTCCTATTTCTATGTGAAGTCTCCGGGTCGGATTTTCTGCTAAATCCATCAGATGTGTCGTGCATGCGCGCTCCCAAACCTTTCTTCTTTATATACAGTCTATACAACGGCACTGCAGCTGACGACATGAGTCTGATAACACCAAAACACTCCTTCCTCCAACACAACACACACTCCATATAAATATAAAAAACAAAAATATATCTGAAACACGTGAGCAAAAGTGCCAATCAAAGTGCCAATTAAAAAAAATGGCGCTTTACACGTGGCGTTTTATGCGTCGGTGTGCACACTCACATCGGCGCCCTTTGTTTATTCACAAGGCGTTAAACATCGGCGAATATCATGCGTGAAATTAGTCCCAGTGTGAACAGGCCTTTAGGCTGCTAAAAATGACATATAGCACCTTTAACTAGGTTTTGACGCATTAATTAAATGTTTTGTGTGAGTACAGTAATGACATTTTGCAGGTCATGCAGTAGAGTTCTGATGTTCCAGCAAACAGTTGTGACATTTGCACTTACAGTTTAGAGAATGTTAAGACTGTTTTGCTAAAATTGCCGAAGCGTTTGAGAAAAACTGTAATGAACACACTATCTCTCTCTCTCTCTCCTCAGTCAATAAGTCATAGAGTGGTGTAAAATAAGCTAGTCTTTCATTAAGAAATGTGACGGTCCTTAGATGTGAAATTGACTAGGACAACTGCAGCTTTAATGAGTTTTGGCTGAGAATGAATTCATAAAGAGTTCCCGATGGCAGTGCCGAAAGCAGCTAATGAACACGTTAATTTGCACAGTCGAGTTCGTCATCAATGAAAATTATCCAGATGTAATTCGGTTAATGCCAGAAAGGCAGCTTTACTCAGATGCGGGAATCAATGCAAGGAAAACATGACACGTCTGGAAAAGATGTCGTGATGCCATTTCTAAGTTTGTCAAAAGTTGAACTTCATGGAGCTCAATGAGGCCGTCATACTAAGATCATTATACATGTCCTAGCAGATTATAAATTATCTGAATGCAATATCAATATTCATATAAATAGTGCAATCATTTTATCTAGCCTTTATCTGACTTTCTGTATAGATAGATAGATAGATAGAACAGATGGATGGATGGATAGATGGATATATATATATATAGATAGATAGATAGATAGATAGATAGATAGATAGATATAACAGAGTGATGGATGGATGGATAGATAGATAGATAGATAGATAGATAGATAGATAGAACAGATGGATTGATGGATAGATGGATATATAGATAAATGGATAGATAGATAGATAGATAGATAGATAGATAGATAGATAGATAGATAGATAGATAGATAGATAGATAGATAGATAGAACAGAGTTATGGATGGATGGATGGATGGATGGATAGATAGATAGATAGATAGATAGATAGATAGATAGATAGATAGAACAGAGTGATGGATAGATAGATAGATAGATAGATAGATAGATAGATAGATAGATAGATAGATAGATAGATAGATAGATAGATAGATAGATAGATAGATAGATAGAACAGAGTGATGGATGGATGGATGGATGGATAGATAGATAGAACAGAGTGATGGATGGATGGATGGATAGATAGATAGATAGATAGATAGATAGATAGATAGATAGATAGATAGATAGATAGATAGATAGAACAGAGTGATGGATGGATGGATAGATAGATAGATAGATAGATAGATAGATAGATAGATAGATAGATAGATAGATAGATAGATAGATAGATAGATAGATAGATAGATAGATAGAACAGAGTGATGGATGGATGGATGGATAGATAGATAGACAGAGTGATAGAACAGAGTGATGGATGGATGGATGGATGGATGGATGGATGGATAGATAGATAGATAGATAGATAGATAGATAGATAGATAGATAGATAGATAGATAGATAGAACAGAGTGATGGATAGATAGATAGATAGATAGATAGATAGATAGATAGATAGATAGATAGATAGATAGATAGATAGATAGATAGATAGATAGATAGATAGATAGACAGAGTGATGGACAGATGGATGGATGGATGGATGGATGGATAGATAGATAGATAGAACAGAGTGATAGATGGATAAATGGATGGATAGATAGATAGATCAATAGATGGATGGATGGATGGATAGATGGAATCACATGTGGGGATAAAAATAAATATCGGTAGAGAGAGAGAGAGAGAGAGAGAGAGAGAGAGAGAGAGAGAGAGAGAGAGCTTCAGCAGTTTCAACAGTGAGTCAGTCTGCTTGTATTACTGTGATTATAGAGAGCTTCTGCAGTGGGGAGAGAGAGAGAGAGAGAGAGAAAGAGAGAGAGAGAGAGAGAGAGAGGTGTGCACGATTCACTGTCTTCTCTAGGATACAGCTCGCTTCCCTCCTCGTCTCAGTGCTTCTCTCTCTTCCCACTCAAGTGTATCAGATCCGGCTCTCCGGCACAACTCTCCGAGGATGAGTCCTCCAGAAAGCTCCAGCCACTGATGCCCGTTCCCCAGCTCATGGCTGCCCAGGACCACTCAACTCTCGTGGGCTTCCCTGGTGCGGACCTGCCCTCTCTAAAGTGGATCCTCAGCCGAACACAAGCTCAAGCGTGGCTCCTTTAGGGTGAGTATCAGTGACAGCGTTTGAGTTTCTTAACAACCACACACACACACACACACACACACAGAGAGAGAGAGATTAAGGATGTTTGTGTGATCTTGGCTTTATTTGTGTGTGAACAATGGCATTGCAAATCAGTTTGCAGTTGAGGATCATAGATAAGTGCGACTCCTTGTTGCATATTGTCATTTGTGACCTTACAAAAGCTGAGATTACGTCCAGGTGGCGTCTCAGATGGGTGCAGAGAGACTGTTGGTGCCAACACTGTCAGCGTGTGAACTCTGAGAGTGTGTCATGACACCCGGTCTGGAGAACGGCACCACTGCACTGATCATTAGAAATTACAGCGCAACACAACCACTCTCGCTTCGTTTCCTTCACTTATTTATACAGTAGTTCCAAAGCGCTGTACAAGAACAACAAGACAAAACATAAAAACATCCATGCTCTAATCCTACTAACAAATATGATTTTAAGCGGTCCTTAAAGGAAGATTATTCCACAATCTTGGACCAGCGACAGAGAAAGCATGATTAACCTTCATTTCGCCTTATTTTATAAGGATTTGATCAAACTACTAACACTAGTGTGGAGTGTATACGAGCAGCGTTTGTTCTCCAGACATGAATGATTCCTCAAATCAAAGGTGTGCTGGTACTTTCAGATGCATTATATTCCCCTGCTGGAACTTAAAACAGGGGGAAAAATCCCAAAGGAGAGACCGCATAGCAATGCCACACTGGCATCGTGACAGCAGGTTTTGCACCACTCACATTTTCGTCAGCAAAATCAAATATGTATTGATTCCTGGCGGTGTAGTTCAGGTAACTGGTCTGTGCGCTGCTCAGAGACAGTATGTGGGTGTGTTGGGAAATAGAAATGCATGAGCAAAAGAGTAGCAAGAAGGTGACAGAATTGACGTATTTCTATGGAAACAGCATATCCCTTCACTTTCGTCCTCTCTCTCTCTCTCTCTCTCTCTATGCACCCCTACTGAAGACTCATAAATGTTTTTCTGCTTATAATCAAGCTCATCGGAAAATTCGATAATGTTATTTGATTGCATTTTTGTAGGGACATCCACACTCTTTGAAGAAAAGGTTCTAAATAGAACCTTAAAAGGTTCTATCAGTGCTACGTATTTGGAACCCCTAAAATGTTCTATACAGAAGGCTTCAATAATAAGAACCCTTTAGGGTTCTTTGTAACCAGGAAAAAAGGTTCTATATGGAACCTTTTGGGTTCATTCATTATCATTTGTTTTGTCCTTTCCGGATTCAATATTTCATATTATTGACAAACATCAAGACCCTAAAATGTATTTATGAATGCATGTGAATGATTACAAAATTCAAGATATATATATTTATATCATTTTATGTAGTTAATCAATATCACACGAAGAGTGCCATTTCAGTTTTTCTCCTGATTAAAATGTGATATTAAGTTACTTTAATAAACAATAATTTAATTACAAATACAAAATGTTGCAGATTAATGTGAATAATAGCCTATAAAGAACCTTTGTGCCAAAAGGGTTCTTTCTTGTGATTATAGAACCTTTTTTTAGCATAAAAGGTTCTTTGGAGTTGAGTAAAGAACCCTATGCTTCATATATAGAACCCCAAATGAAACCTTTTTTCTAAGAGTGCATTAACAAAAGCAGATGATTTTTGACACTTTCTGTTGAATTCGGAATGCCCAACAAAAAAAGTTATCAATGAGATGCGCTCGGACACGCCCATAACGCATCACTTCCTGTGTTTACCTCATTCAGTCCTTTAATCCGGCTGTTGGAGATTTCAGGGGAAAAGTGTCTTTCTGTCACTCAAGCTGTTATTAAGGCACTTAAACTGTCTGAATCTCACACTGGATGGGCTCAGTTTCAGAACAAACAGACCAACATTTGGGACTTTAAACCTTGTCAAACAACCTACTAATATAGTATATTTAGTCAGTTTTTGCTCTCATAATCCTCAACCAGCTAACACTCCTAATAAACTTTAAATTGTCATAATCTGGATTTTCCTTTATTAGACAAAATCGACACAATATGTACTCAGAGTATGCAAAGATCAGTATTGCATGATTCTGTAATTATCGATGCAGTATTTGAATAGCATTAATGATATGCAGTGATTTTAAGGACACTGTGATCCTCGTTGACAGTAATGCAGAGCTGTCTGAAAGTGTAAGTTTGACAGTGAGACGATTTCATGCTACAGCCTGCGGTGTGTGTCGTGATGCTCACGCTCACTAATCCTCGAGAGCTTTTCATCCGCTCCCAAACACACACATGCAGAGAGAGATAACTGAATATTATTTTTGAGAAATAATAATTTGATTTATGTGAGCACTCACGCACAAGTGTTGTTCAGGTAGAGGGATTGGTGTGGTCGTGACTGCAGCTCGGACGGCATCCAGTCGAGCACGAGAAACAGACTGTTATCTTTACAAACAGAAAGTGTCACTTTATTTGTGTGAATGAACTCAGTGATACCTGATGCATGTATGACGTGCATGTTTGTGCATCTATTTATCTGTCACAAGTGCGTCCGGTTAAAATTTAAGCGATCACTCAAAACTGTTTGTTTTATTTATTTATTTATTTTAATTGGTGCATAATTTATTACTGTATTTATTAAATTTGGTTCATTATTTATTTATTTTAATTTGTTCATTTTATTTATTTATTTTGTTAATTGTATTAAATGTATTCTTTTATTTTAATTTGTTCAATTTATTTATTATTGTTTTGTTTATTTTATAGAATTTATTTACTTTAATGTGTTCATTATAGTGCTGTCAAATCGATTAATCGCAATTTATTTATTTATTTAGCGTCTTCTAATATTTATTTATTTGAATTTGTTCATTATAGTTCTGTCAAATCGATTAATCGCAATTAATTAATTAATGATTTTATTTTATAGAATTAATTTAATTGAATGTGTTCGTTATAGTGCTGTCAAATCGATTAATCACATTTATTTATTTAATTATTTTTTATTTTGTAATATTTATTTATTTGAATGTGTTCATTATAGTTCTGTCAAATCGATTAATCGCAATTATTATTTTTTTATATTTTGTAATTTATTTATTTGAACGTGTTCATTATAGTTCTGTCAAATCGATTAATCACAATTATTTTTTACATTTTATTTTGTAATATTTATTTATTTGAATGTGTTCATTATAGTGCTGTCAAATCGATTAATCATAATTATTTATATAATTCTTTATTTTGTAATATTTATTTATTTGAATATGTTCATTATAGTTCTGTCAAATCGATTAATGGCAATTAATTAATTAATGATTTTATAGAATTAATTTAATTTTATGTTCATTATAGTTCATTACAGTGCAGTCAAATCGATTAATCACAATTATTTAATTATTTATTTATTTTTTATTTTATAATATTTATTTATTTGAATGTGTTCATTATAGTTCTGTCAAATCAATTAATTGCAATTATTGGTTTTAATTTATAAAATTAAATTTAATGTGTTATATAAACACAGCCTTTTAGATGCCATTAATCATGATTAATCGATTTGACAGCACTCAGCTCTATATTTTTGAGTTTGTTTTATTTTATTTTATTGAATTTATTTATTTTCATTTGGTAATTTTTTTATTTAATTAGTTCTTGCCATATCAAAAAATGGCAGTCAAGACCTGTTGTACAGATATTGAACATGTCAATATGATGACTGACCTCATCTGTCAATCAGTCGAGCTCTTGTTCACGTTGATTTTCAATGATGTTACAAGATCAGTGAGTTAATATTCATTCTTGCCTTCGGCATGTCATTGTGTCAGAACTTTGAAAAATATTCTGCTTTGAGAACGGTTCCTTCGGTCAGAGTTTCTTGTTTAGTTTCCTGTTTCTTTCCAGCTGAATTTCTCTTATTCTCCCTCCCCAAGAGATCAGTGTTAGCCGAGAGATCAGAATAATTAAAATATGTCTCCTCTTGAAACACTGTTGATTTTCTACATACTAAATTATGCATCCAGCTGGCTAATCATATTTTTGCATGACCATTTGCATTCTCTGGTTATGTAATGTTTAATGGTGGATTTTTAATTTTTAAGAGAAAATCACGAAATACATGATCACCTCTCATCATATATGTGATAATCTCTGATCACAGATTAGTTTTCAAATGAAAATTTCAGGATTCATATTCATATTTGAAATCATCAAAGTTCTTTTTGAATGTAGTTTAATTCATAGTTAATAGTGTGCATCTCATTGTTAATGTGGTTCCTCTGCTAGACACCTAGAACACACACTTAAACACCAGCTGATTCACAGAAAAGTGAAGAGAAAAGCCTCTGAGACACTTGATCTAATGCAGTGACATTTTTAGACTTTAGTAAAAACTGATGGTGCAATAGTTTAATCTCATAAATAACACCTGAAACACTCATTGGATGTGCAGTGTGTGTATTTATAACACCTGTAGTCACGGGTTTGAGTCTGTAGCGCACGTTTGAAACCGAGTCATGGGACTTTCAGCAGGTTTTACATGTTTGGTGTGTGTGTGTGGTGATGATCCTTCAGGCTGCACGTTTCTGCGAATGTGAACATGAGTTCATACTGCTGCTTTGGGTTTGGAAAACCATTCCATAAGCATCTTTTGGGTTTTCTGTGTGTGTTTTGTAATCTATAAGCCTCCTAACGCTGAATTGTAAAGCTTCAGGCTGCTGAAAGGAAAGCGAGAGAGAGTGAGAGAGGGAGAAGGAATGATATGGAGGAGTAGAGATGCTTGTGCTTTTATTAGGAGCTCTTTTCTTCTGTCGTTCAATTTTTCTCTCCATCTCCAAGGATGCCAAGTCGAGAGTGGCAGTTAGAAACAGTCTGTGCATATCTAATATGATTGGGCTTGTTAAAAATAGACCGCACTATACACTCTGTGCTGAGCTCATGTGCACGTACAGCACACAGGATTCGGAAAGCAAAATGGCAGTAAGGATTTCGGTATTTGTTCTCGTTCTAGAAACCAGAGAGCGTTTGATTTGATGAAAAGGTCAAGATGATCAGTGCAAGACGATTATTATTATTTTTGTTTAGTTTTATGTCAGAGAAATGCTGTTCATGAACTCTTCCCTGTGCCGCTTGTTCTACATGTACTGCTGTTCAAAAGTTTGTGGTCAATATATATTTTTGAGAGAATCTCTTCTGCTCACCGAGGCTGCATTTTCTTTCCACAAATACTGTAAAAACAGTAATATTGTTAAATATTATTACAATTTCAAAGAACTGTTTTCTATGTGAATATGTTTTAAAATGTAATTTATTCCTGTGATCAAAGCTGTATTTCCAGCATCATTACTCCAGTCTTCAGTGTCACATGATCCTTCAGAAATCACTCTAATATGATGATTTGCTGCTCAAGAAACATTTCTGATTATTATCAATGTTGAAAACAGTTGTGCTGCTTAATAGCGGAAACTATGAATCTTTGATTAATAGAAAGTTCAGAAGAACAGCATTTTAATGTAATGCATCCTTGTTGAGTAAAAGATGTTTCTTTAAAAAAAGAAATCTTACTGACCGCAAACTTTTAAACGGTAATGTACACTCACCTAAAGGATCATTAGGAACATCACACTAATACTGTGTTTGACCCGCTTTCGCCTTAATTCTACGTGGCATTGATTCAACAAGCATTCTTTAGAAATGTCGGCCCATATTGATAGGATCGCATCTTGCAGTTGATGGAGATTTGTGGGATGCACATCCGTTCCACCACATCCCAAAGATGCTCTATTGGGTTGAGATCTGGTGACTGTGGGGCCGTTTTAGTACAGTCAACTCATTGTCATGTTCAAGAAACCAGTTTGAAACGATTCAAGCTTTGTGACATGGTGCATTATCCTGCTGGAAGTAGCCATCAGAGGATGGGCACATGGTGGCCATAAAGGGATGGACATGGTCAGAAACAATCCTCAGGTAGGCCGTGGCATTTAAACCATGCCCAATTGGCACTAAGGGGCCTAAAGTGTGCAAAGAAAACCATTACACCACCACCACCAGCCTGCACAGTGGGAACAAGGCATGATGGATCCATGTTCTCATTCTGTTTACACCAAATTCTGACTCTACTCAACAGAAATCGAGACTCATCAGACCAGGCGACATTTTCCAGTCTTTTTGGTGAGCTCTTGCAAATTGTCGCCTCTTTTTCCTATTTGTAGTGGAGATGAGTGGTACCCGGTGGGGTCTTCTGCTGTTGTAGCCCATCCGCCTCAAGGTTGTGTGTGTTGTGGCTTCACAAATGCTTTGCTGCATACCTCGGTTGTAACGAGTGGTTATTTCAGTCAAAGTTGCTCTTCTATTGGCCCATTCTCCTCTGACCTCTAGCATCAACAAGGCATTTTGGCCCACAGGACTGCCGCACACTGGATGTTTTTCCCTTTTCACTCCATTCTTTGTAAACCCTTGAAATGGTTGTGTGTGAAAATCCCAGTAACTGAGCAGATTGTGAAATACTCAGACACCAACAACCATGCCATGCTAAAAATTGCTTAAATCACCTTTTCCTGACATTCAGTTTGGAGTTCAGGAGATTGTCTTGACCAGGACCAGAACTGCCATGTGATTGGTTGATTTAGATTATTGCATTAAAGAGAAATTGAACAGGTGTTCCTAATGATCCTTTTGGTGAGTGTATATTAATGATTCCTAAAATTGTGCAGCTTGATGATCTAGTTTGATGATAAAATTAGTGGAAATGAAATGTGTCCTGGCATAATATTTCCCTCTTACTCTGATTTGCCTTTAGTTCTCTGTTTTTGGAATCAAATCATGTGCAATATTATAATTGCAGTGTTTAATTATTTATTGTTTGTACAGCTTCTGAGGTTTGTGCAGAAGAGTTTAATCAATTTCAAAATCTCCTGGCTTTATTAGAGCTTAAACAAGCTTTTTTTTTTAGTTTAGTTTACTATACGAGCAGAAGTTTCAGTTATTTGTTTTGGTATGATTAAAGTGCAAATATGGTTTCTTGTTGCTTTTCTCACCTTCTCCCTTTTTTATTTCTTCTAGTTTATTCAGACCTCGTCTTTCAGCTTTACCATCTCACCGAGAACAAGACCTTTAGAGCCGAAGCTTTCAGACTGCTAGAGGAAGCGAGGACAATCATATATAAAGGTACGTCTGCAGCACTACACAGTGAAGTCTTATTTTATTTTATGGATAATTCAATCCCTCAGGCGTGTGCATATTGTCCTTGTTGTTTTGGAAGATGGAACAGGAGATTTCAAAAGTGCAGCGCAAGATGTCGGACCTGGAGTCAGTTTTGCAGCAGAAAGACGTGGAGCTTCAGGCTTCAGAAACCCAGAGGACCATTTTAGAACAAGACCTGGCCACCTACATCACAGAGTGCAGTGTGGGTATTTTGTCCAGATGTGGAAATGTGCCGTGTTCTGAATTGCACTAATTCATTTGTGTTTGTGTGTGCATTTCAGAGTTTGAAGCGCAGTTTGGAGCAGGCCCGCATGGAGGTGTCGCAGGAGGATGATAAAGCTCTGCAGCTGCTGCACGATATACGGGAACAGAGCAACAAACTGCAGGAAATCAAAGAACAGGTTCGGATTTGATGCACATTTTCATTTCAGCGTATTGGCTGTGTTTGGAATCGACATCTATCCACCTTATTCCTACGTCCCATGAGGCTTTGCGTGAATTATGGGTGTATCTTCGGTTAAAGGAGTAGTTCACTTTAAAAAAACATTTGCTGATAATTTACTCACCCCCATGTCATCCAAGATGTCCACGTCTTTCTTTCTTCAGTCGAAAAGAAATTAAGGTTTTTGATGAAAACATTCCAGGATTTTCTCCATATAATGGACTTCAATGGGGTCCAAACGGTTCAAGGTCTAAAAGACACCAGACGATGAATAAGGGTCTTATCTAGCGAAACGATCGCTCATTTCAAAAATAAATAAAAAAGTTTAAGTTTTATAAGCACAAATGCTCGCCTTGCTATGTTCTGTGATGCGCGTTCGTGACTCTCCTGTTCGAATTCGTTCATCAAAATGAACAAATCTTTTTTCGATTCATTTCGTTCGTTGAATCAACCAAATGACTCGATAGATTTTTGAGTCGAATTGAATCAGAATTGCATCAAATTCAAGCTTGTGAATCGAAATTGAATTGAAATGTGAAATGCGTGTCAACCTACTTCTAAAGCATGTATTAATCTTAAAGTTAGTTACAACATTTGCTATTAAAAATTTAAAAGGTGTATTTATTAATATTAATTAATGGTCCTAATTAAAGGGACTGCAGATTAAAAATGGGAAAACATGAAAAACTCTGGCATTTTGACAGAAATGCTTATTAATATGCACCGTCCCTGCAGTAAATATTTTTTAAGCTAACATTTACAATTTTAGTTAATGCATTATCTAATGTTAAATGCCGGGAACTCATTGTAAAGTATTATCGACTTGTTTTTGGAGAGTTTTAGACTTGCAATCGCTGTAAATGTCAGAAGCATAACACAAACACACATTACAAACAAAACAGTTTTTTGTTTAGTTTTAAAAATGACTATAAAAATGTCGTTTGTAAATTAAATGTAAAGCTTCAAATGACTCCTGCATGCTGCTGTACTGGATGCATGGAGAAATAAGAGATGCAATATTATATAGAGTGTGGAGGTGTTCGATTTTAGATCTGGATTCGATGTGTGTGTCTGAATGTTAAGTCTTAAGTCTCAATGACATAACCAGAGAGGTTTATGGAAAGTTTTTGTGTGTGCATCGTGGTTCATTTCTAAATGTCTATATTGGAGAATTTTGTGTCTTTGTTTAACACAGGGGGGAATCATTCTCAGATTTCTCAGATTATTTTATTATTATAGAGCTTCTGCTTGTTTGAGCCCTGCTGATGCTACAAATGAACTCTGTCCGTCTCGGGTTCTGAAACACTATCTGAAATGCCGATTGGCACTTATAGCCATGAGTAAAGTGATGTAGGACTGAAGAATGAGATGTGACGGTAAGAACATGATAGAAAAACAGCCTGCTTTCTGCCGCTTCTCGCACGTCTCCCCCAGAGCCAGACTCCATCGCACTGCGGTTGCCATGGAGACAAAAATGGTACCTAGCAGTGAAGGATGTTGCAGATGCAGTGGAAATCGTGACATGCTGGCAAAGGTCTCGAATTAGCAGCAATCAGACTTTAAATGAAGTGTTCACTTCTCGTTTTATCCTATAGATTTGATCAAACTGTTAGTTCGGCTCTGCAGGACTTTGCTACTAGTTTGATGCTTTCAAACTCTGCCGCATAGTCTAGATGTCCTGTTTTCAGTATGCATTATTAATGTGTAACTGTTTATGGACTTAAATTGTTGTAACATATGTGAACTTGCAATGTAAAAACTTTTAAATAGTTAAATAGCATACGTTTTAGACATAATATTTACAGTTACTCTGGCAACAAAATATTTCCAAATAAAGTCAAAGCAGGAACAACTGCCTTTTCTCTGAGCATTGTGTTTCTTTTATCTGCATGTTTGAACGAATCAGTTGAGTGAATGATTCGAATACTCCCTCTTAAAAAGTGACTGGTCATTCCTAAATGAATCAGTAGGTTTGAACGAATCAGTTGCGTGAATGATTTATTAAATGAATCTCTCTTAAAAACTGTCACTTGTGTTCTTCTTTAATAAATCTTTGTTTAAATGAATCAGTTGAGTGAATGATTCGAATACTCCCTCTTAAAAAATCACTTGTCATTCCTTAATGAGTCGGTACTTTTGAACAAATCAGTTGAGTGAATGATTCGAATACTCCCTCTTAAAAAATCACTTGTCATTCCTTAATGAGTCGGTACTTTTCAACGAATCAGTTAAGTGAATGATTCAAATGACTCTCTCTTGAAGACAGTCATTTGTGTCGTTCTTTAATAAATCTGTATGTTTATATGAATCAGTTGAGTGAATGATTCGAATACTCCCTCTTAAAAAGTCACTTGTCATTCCTTAATGAGTCGGTACTTTTCAACGAATCAGTTGAGTGAATGATTCAAATGACTCTCTCTTGAAGACAGTCATTTGTGTCGTTCTTTAATAAATCTGTATGTTTATATGAATCAGTTGAGTGAATGATTCGAATACTCCCTCTTAAAAAGTCACTTGTCATTCCTTAATGAGTCGGTACTTTTGAACAAATCAGTTGAGTGAATGATTCGAATACTCCCTCTTAAAAAATCACTTGTCATTCCTTAATGAGTCGGTACTTTTCAACGAATCAGTTGAGTGAATGATTCAAATGACTCTCTCTTGAAGACAGTCATTTGTGTCGTTCTTTAATAAATCTGTATGTTTATATGAATCAGTTGAGTGAATGATTCGAATACTCCCTCTTAAAAAGTCACTTGTCATTCCTTAATGAATCTGTACTTTTGAACAAATCAGTTGAGTGAATGATTCGAATACTCCCTCTTAAAAAGTCACTTGTCATTCCTTAATGAGTCGGTACTTTTCAACGAATCAGTTGAGTGAATGATTCAAATGACTCTCTCTTGAAGACAGTCATTTGTGTCGTTCTTTAATAAATCTGTATGTTTATATGAATCAGTTGAGTGAATGATTCGAATACTCCCTCTTAAAAAGTCACTTGTCATTCCTTAATGAATCTGTACTTTTGAACAAACCAGTTGAGTGAATGATTCGAATACTCCCTCTTAAAAAGTCACTTGTCATTCCTTAATGATTTGGTACGTTTGAACGAATCAGTTGAGTGAATGATTTATTTAATGAATCTCTCTTAAAAATAGTTACTTGTGTCGTTCTTTAATAAATCTGTATGTTTGAATGAATCAGCTGAGTGAATCATTCGAATACTCCCTCTTAAAAAGTTACTTGTCATTCCTTAATGAATCGTCACGTTTGAACGAATCAGTTGAGTGAATGATTCTCTCTTGACTCTCTCTTAAAGACCGTCACTGGCAGAATGTAACTTGTAAGAATGATTCACTTAAAAATCCCCACCACTAATTCAGACTGTATTTACAGCCCATCTTATACTGATGGCATGTATAGTTTTGCCTGATTTGATTTGAACATTGGCAATTCTTGGAATAGTAGTAGTTCCTGGTAGTAGTTATTTTTTAGCTTTTAAACAAAGTTTGTAATTTTGTGATTCATCTTAGAACAGGTTTTGGTTAAGTTTTTTTTTTATTGAAGAGTGTTTTTAAACACCTATGGGGGCGAAATGACTTGCTTTTAGGCTCTCTCGTGCTTAAAAAATAGATAGAATAAAAAATAAAGTGGCACAGAAAGGGTTTTTTTCAGTTTCATGAATATACTAAGTTCCTTTGGTTTGTTAAGCTCAGAGGGAACCGGCCCATTAAGCTGTCATTTCAGAGAGCTGCTTTTAAAGGGTGATTTCCAGTTCAGATGGAAGTTTTAATGGCTGACAGATTTATTTCTGCTTTTAGTTTTTTGGCATTTAGTGGACTAACTCATTGCTTTGAATAATGTAAATACAGTCTAAAAAAAGTTATAATGTTTATTTACAGCATTCCTTTTCTTGGAGTCATGAATTAAAGAAATTATTCAAGTTGAACTCATTTCAATTCTAGTTCATCTTAAACTAAACTCTTATTCTATTGTATTTTTCTTCAAGGTATAAACCTCGTCTCGGATTTCTCTCTTGAAAATAAATCGACGTTAATGAGCCAAATTTTAAGACATTGTCAAGATGTCTGTTGTTAAACTCTTGAAGAGACGCATGTGAGAGTATGTGGTGATTTTCAATGCCCGATTAATGATATCTAAAGTGCTGTAATTCTGAATTGCTGAAAATATAAACATTTACAAAGAAAAATTAGAAAAGCGTGAGTTTTAATCAAAAGCTTTCCATTTAATCTGATTGGACAATTGAGTTATTCAGGAGATCTCATTTGTAATTTTTCTTTGTGATGGATGGATCTTTTTTAGTGCTTGCAACTAATGCATATGTTTTGATTCCAGCACAAAATGGTATAGTCACAATTTGTGCAATTAGCTCACTATTGATAATTAAGCAGTCACATTAGCATAGAGGACTGACAGAAGGAGATTGTGTTGACTCACTCTGAGCTGATTTTTTTTAATATTATGAATTTCATTTGGGAGGCAATTTCACAAAATGTCAAGCACCTCTTTTCTGTCGTTTCTGGTGAATAATTATAATCTTCATTATGATAATAAAAAGCAGAAATCCCAAACATGCTCTTCTATATCTGTTTTTGTGCACTTGGCTGCTTTTCCTCTCCACATTCACAATATAGCACAGCCTCAAGTGCCTTATTGCTTTTGTTACATGGATTGTACAAATAAGTGACAACAGCAAAGTTAATAGTTGGTCTTAAGGGCTTTTAACTTGAAATGGTTAACCCTGGGTCATTATTTTAGCCCAGGGTAAACGCAATCCTGGATTATTTAGCACATTGACCATAAAAAACCCTGGGTTAATATTCTTATTTGACTTTTCAGACTATTAAAGGTATAAGAATTGAATGGTTTCTTTCTTTCTTACTTAATTTGTCCCCTCAAACCTGTGTCCGAAATCACCCCCAAACCCTCATTCACTATTTCCTATAAAACTCCACTAATATAGTCCACTTGATGGAGTGAAACAGAGAAACACTTGGAGAGCAGCAGCTTTCGTTTCTGCTCTGACAGCCGCAAGACCAGAAATGT